GAGGAGCCTGGAGGGCTACAGACCACCGGGTCTCAGAGTCGGACATGACTGACCACACACAAACATACAATAGACAAGTATCAGAATCAGGGAGAAAGATGTTCACGGTTAAATTCCTAGGTGCCAAAAGTCAGTTGCAAACCAGTGTGAAATGGGGTGATTGCATTTTTTCTTTTAAAAAATAAAAGCAAAATATCTCTTTAGAGACCTGAACCTGTCATACGCACGGAGGTGTACGTGCTGAGTCTCTGAATGAAAAGACACCAAATGTTAATGGCAGTTACCTGTGGTTGTCGGATTACACTTGACTTTTGTCCCTGTGTTCTTATTTAGATATCTTTCCTAGTTTTCCTAAATTAATTTGTGTTTATTCTAGGATAAATAATTCAAAAGCACATTTACATAGGCACAGAAAAGAGCAAGGAAGGCTCTAAAACAAAATGTAAACAGTAGTTATTTATTATATCTAGGTGGTGGGACTAAGGGTGAGTTATTTCAGTTTTAAAATCTGAATAATTAAGAAGTTATTTGGTAACTAAGGTGACCTCACTTCTCCTGCTATCTGTCTGTGTCCACCGAGGGTGTACGATTCCACTAAACATTTCAAATCGTCTGCTTTTGTGGACTGGACATTCCCTGACCTCAGGGAACATGCGATTTTGCGGGGGGAGTCAGTGCTCTCCAGGGCTGGGGGGTGCAAGAACCTCCAGGGGTGAGAAACGAAAGTGTTAGGATTTTAAGACATGCCTGCCACACTTGGGGACTTCCCTGGTGGTTCAGTAGTTAAGACTCCAAGCTTCCACTGCGGGGGGCATGGGATCGATCCCTGGTCAGGGAACTAAGATCCCACATGACACATGGCTCAGCCAAAAAATAAAAAAAGACATGCCTGCCATCCTTTAATGGGCTTCTCGGGTGGCTCAGTGGTAAAGAATCCACCTGCCAATGCAGGAGGTGAGGGTTCCATCCCTGGGTTGGGAAGATTCCCTGGAGAAGGAAATGGCAACCCACTCCAGTATTCTTGCCTGCAGAATCCCATGCACAGAGGAGCCTGGCAGGCTACGATCCATGCTGGGGTCACAAAAGAGTTGGACACGACTGAGCATGCATGCACACACACCATCCTTTAACGTAGCCATTTTTGTGTAAGCTTTATAACATGCGATCCATGGATGCTGTAGACCTTTGCATGGCTTTTGTAATAAATTCATACATGTATAATCTGACAGGGGTGTGGGTTACATGGTTTGGTGGCCAGTGGCCTGGGTGATGGGGTGATAGACACATGGGCAGGTAGATCCAATCATTGGGTCCACTCAGACCTACAGAGTCACCCTCTCTCCCTCTTTTCCTAGATCCACTTTGCAGAAAAAATTCTGTGGTCTCCACCTCCCAAACTGACCCAGGATCTGTCCACTTGTTCCCACCTCCACCATAACCTGTCCTGGAGTGTGCCGGGCCACCAACCTCTCTCTCCGGAGCTCTGCACCAGCCTCTGAACAGGTGTGCCTGCCATCACTCTTGCCTCTGGGGTCCCCACACCTTGGCCAGAGAGAGACCCAAGTCAGGGCCCATATGTCCTCTGCTCAGAGCCTCCCCTGGCTCCTGTCTCCAGCAGAGAAGAGCCAAGCGCTCCCCATGACCACGCGACCCTTTTGTCCGCTCTCTGTCCTCACCCCCACCCTCTCCTTGTGGCTCACTCCGCTCTGGTCATGCCAGTCTCCTGGCTGTTCCTCCTACACACCAGGCAGGCTCCACCCCAGGGCCTTTGCACCTGCTGCTCCCTGCCCAGAACGCCCCCACAAGGCTCCCACCACCACCTCCTCCAAACGCGTGCTCGAGGAATTCCCTGCCGGTTCAGTGGTTAGGACACCACGCTTCCACTGGAGGGGGCTCAGATTCCATCCTTAGGAGAAAACTAAGCTCTTACAAGCCTTACAGCTCAGCCAAACAAAACAACCGAAAACAAACATTTGCTCAAATGTCACCTTCTCCATGAGGCCACCCTGACCCCTGTGCCTATAAAGCTGCAGCCACCACCCCCCTCACCCCCATCCAGCCTCCTTCCCCACAGCTCTTAACATCTTTAACACAAAGTACATTTCTTCCTGGGCTTCCCAGGTGGTGCTAGTGGTAAAGAACCCGCCTGCCAATGCAAGAGATGTAAGAGATGTGGGTTTGATTCCTGGGTTGAGAAGATCCCCTGGAGGAAGGCGTGGCAACCCACTCCAGTATTCTTGCCTGGAGAATTCCAAGGACACAGGAGCCTGGCGGGCTGCAGTCCATGGCGTCGCAAAGAGTCAGACACGACTGAAGCGACTTTGCACAGCACACAGTTCCTTTTAGACAAAGGCCTGGAATGCAGGCACTAGGAGGACGCATTTGGGTGTCGGTTTTGCTCACTGATGTGTCCCAAATACCTACACTACAGCCTCCCTCCTGGAAGACGACCAAGTGATACTGAATGATGGAAGTGTTAAGGGGGAAGGCCAGGGAGGTTGGGGGACTGTGGATCCAGAGAGGAAGGCGATGAGGGAAGGCTAGCCTGGGGGACCTCAGGGCCAAAAGAGAGGCAGGTTCAGGCGAGGGGACGGTCTGAGCAGCCTCTCAGGGTTGGGAGAGTGACTGGTTGCCGCAGAAGAGCCTGGACTTCGTTCCAGAGACCAGGGGGTTTTGGAGGGTTTCAGGCAGAGGGCTCCAAGACTGTGGCCACCTGATGTGGAGAGCCGACTCATTGGAAAAGACTCTGATGCTGGGAAAGATTGAAGGCGGGAGGAGAAGGGGACGACAGAGGATGAGATGGTTGGATGGCATCACCGCCTCCATGGACATGAGTTTGAGCAAGCTGCGGGAGTTGGTGAGGGACAGGGAGGCCTGGTGTGCTGCAGTCTGTGGGGTCACAGAGAGTCAGATGCAACTCAGTGACTGAACAACACCCAGGCAGAGGGCGCTGCCAGGCCTGCGTGGAGGCCCCGAGACGATGGGCTGGGTGTATGGAGTTAGGATCCGGCAGGGCTGGGGGCGGGGGCACCTGGGTGGGGACGGGCCCTCAGCAGCTGTTGGAGGGGCAGAATTTTTCATCCAGCTCCCCACCACGGGGAGGTCGTTGCGGCGTGGACTCCGTGACACTGTCGCAGACAGGATCCCTGACACGCTCACCTCCCTGCTTCGGGCTCTCAGGTCCCAGCTTCCCCAGCCTGCCCAGTCAACTATGTCTTCCTTCCCTTCTGGAGGGGAAGCCGCCCAGGGAGAGGGAAGGGCCTGGCAGCATCAGTGCGACATCACAGGGGTGTCGGAGGACAGGGCGAGGGAGCACGGGGAACATGGGCGGGAACGGAGGGCCCGCTTAAGGGAGACCTGAACAGAGCCGGGAGACTGAAGCTGGACTCCAAGGTTGGGAGCAGGAAAGGGAGCCTCTTGGGGGAGGCAGCTGGGGAGGCGGCCTGGAGCCCAGGGGGACACAGTCGTGCGGGAGCGGGGCTGGGTGACGGTGGGGGGGACACAGTCGTGCGGGAGCGGGGCTGGGTGATGGGGTGGGGGGGACACAGTCGTGCAGGAGCGGGGCTGGCTGATGTCAGGGATTCTAGCCCCACAGCCACCCAGGAAGCGAAAGCCTGGCCTTTGGCATTTCACTTGACACTGACCGTCCCCCCAGAGGTCCCCTCTCTGCCCCCACAGATGGGGCCCCGGTCCTCAGGCAGTCCAAGACAGTCAGATGGCAGGGGCATCCCTGAGCCCTTCCCCTTCCTGGGGTCAGGCCAGGAGGTGCAGTGGGGGAGGGAAGTTTAGCTCTTCTCTCGTGGCTCTACGGGCTGGGAGAGGAGAGGACTGCATGGGGACAGTGGACTGACCAAAGGCCTTTGAAACAGAGGGTCTCTGACTTCCCCGGGGGTCCAGGGGTTAAGACTCCGTGCTCCCAAAGCAGGGGCGCGAGTTTGATCCCTGGTTGGGGAAGGTCCTGCCTGCCCTGCCACACGTCACAGCCAAAAACCAACCAACCAACCCCAGTGGTTCTCAGGGCGTCCCTGGTGGTCCAGGGGTTAAGATTTGGCCTTCTAACACAGGAGGTACGGTTTGTTCCGTGGGTGAGGAGGTCCCACATGCCTCATGGCCAAAAAGAAAACCACCCACACAATCCCTGCCCTGCCCTGTGGTTCTCAGCCAAAGGGGATTCCCTCCGTCCCCAGGGGATATCTGACATCTGGAGATGTGGCTGGGACTGAGGAGGTGGGATGCTACTGGCTTCTGGGGGTCAGGGACACCACTCCACATTCTACAGCCCACAGGACGCACCCCCCAACCAAGGATGATCCCCCCAACCAAGGATGATCCAGCCCCAGAGACAAAAGAGCAGAAGAGGACACACCTGCTTCAAAACAGTGCAGCCCTGCCCCCAAAGCATCGCGGGCAGCCCGTTACAGTAATAACCGGACGGCGCCTGCCCTGTTCCAGCAGGAGCCAGCACCTGGGAGCACCCGGCTCTCATACAGACTCCGCGGGGCCGGGAGCCCAGAACCACAAGCGAAGGAGCGCTGCTCCCAGGCCAGAGCAAGTCTACGCCCTTGACAAGTATGAAGTCCAGCAGCCCTCGCACCCGCCCTGCGGGGAGAGCTCTTATCATCCCCATTTTCCAGATGGAGAAACTGAGGCCCAGTGTCATGTGCCCAATGCCCCAGGCGGCGGGCGCGGCAGTGCAGATGGCACGGGGTGGGGGGGGGCCTTAGGGAAGGGTCACCCCCAGCACGACCTGCGGCTCCTGCGCTGTGGGAGGCAGGCAGGCGGTCCTGCCGCAGCCCAGACACAGGGAGGAGCCTCATGCTGAGAAAACGCAAGACACAGCCTCGGCTCAAGCAACAAGGATGCACACAGTGTCCGAGGAGTGCCCGGGGACAGATGGACGAGCATGAAGAGCTGGTGGTTCAGGGAGGGGGGACCGGCCGCCCGGCCACCACCCGCGCCCCTGCCCCAGGGCCCCCACAACGGCGGCCAAGCCAGCTCACCTGGATGCCGTTCTCCTGCAGGTTCAGGTACCGCGTGTTGACAGGGATGCTGGCCGGGACTTCAGCCAGCTCTCTCCTGGTGCAGATCACCCGACTGGCCTGGTTGCTGCAGGAGCAGGCAGCAGGGCAGGAGGTGGCCGGAGGGGTGCCCCCTCCGGCGGCGGATGTCACGGCCACGCCGCCCCCGCCGGCCCCCAGGGGCGGGGAGAAGAGCCAGAGGAACAGCAGGGCCCCATGGGGCCAGGACATCCTACCGGGCGGCAGCGGGGGGCACAGGGAGCCGCGGGCACGCGCCATCCTCAATGTTCATGCTCCGCCTGGACGCCGGGGGGCTGTTGGGAGCGGAGAGAGGAACAGGCTCAGTGACGGAAGGGACCCCCACCCCCGAGAGGCCCAGCTCCTCCCCCGAGTCCAGACAACTCTCTGCTGCTGCTGCCATCAAGGCTCACGACCCAAGGGATCAAGGCCACCCCAGGTCCCAGGTGATGAGGGCCCAACAGGCTGAGGGAGGCAGAGAGGCAGGGGCTGGCCCTCGGATCACCATCTCCGTGCTGGGAAGACTTCATGCCCATTTCCCAGAACAGAAAACTGAGTCTGGGGGGGAGGATGTGCCGACAGGTGGAGACATCAGCCAGATTAAAAACTTGGCTCCTGTGTGATTTCACAAAGAGACATCGATAGGTGGAGATGGAGTGAAAGACAGATGAGACACAGGTGACAGACAAAAGGTGATGAGCCAAGCTGAGAAAGTCAGAGCTAGGATCTGGAGCCCATCTCAGCATCCACCCAAGTCCCCTCGCCACCTGCACGCACCTCTGGGAGGGGTCCGGCCCCCTGGACGCCCCCTCACCCCACTTCTCCCTCCAGGGAGTGGTTGCAGAGGCCAGGTTTCCCAGGGACCCGGACATCCCACCCACCATCACACACGGGGCTCCTGTCTCCCTTGCGCCTCCTGGCAGCAGCTGGAAAGATTTAAGTTAGACTCAAAGGGGGACCTTGAAGGAGAAGGTGAGGTGCCAGACAAGGCAAATGGATAAGTGCTGGGTGTGGGCAGGTGAGGCTGGGAGGAAGCCCGTGGGGAGGAAGGGGACTGGCGGCGATGACGAGGGAGGAGGTGGCCTTGGGTGGCAGGGGCTGGAGGCCACGAGGGCGGCTGGTGGGTCTGAGCCAGTGGCTGCCGCAGGATGTGGCTGAGCCGCTGCCGGGGTAGGGCTGGGTGATGGGGGACTCCCACCCGGAGCTCTGGGAGGGCAGTGGGCTGCGTGGGGTCAGGTTCTCCCACCCCCATCTCCATAGGGGAGAGACGGGCTAGAGGGAGATGGGCTAGTCATGACGGGCGCAGTGAAAACAACAACGATAACTTGGGAATTGTGAGTCAGCCCCTTCTTGCGCCAGACTCTGCACACGCTTGTTTAAGCTCCCGGGGAACCTCGGGAGGAAGCTGTGAGGATACCCAATTGACGGATGAGGCCACTGAGGAGCCTGGGGCTGGCTGGGTAGTGGCAGAAGGGGACTGGCAGAAGGTTTACCCCTGGGGCGCCCGGCCCTCTCTTCCAAGCAGCATTTCCATCCCCAGCGCGCGCGCACACAGACACACACGCGCGCGCGCGAGTGCGCCCACGCCCGCGAGCTCTGCTTCCGCACGGCAGACCCGAGAGTTTCCCACGTGTGGGGAGGCCAGGGGGACCGGGGATGGAGGGCGGGTGCGGTCTGCACAAACGCGCGCACCCTCAGCGGTGACGGGGCGCGCCCTCGCGCTCCCAGACCCGCGGACCCGGGGCGGCTCGCCCCCGCACTCCGTGCGCACGCACGCGCACACGCTCCCGCCCGCGGTTTCCAACATCATTGTAACTCGGACGGATTAAAAAAAAAAAATGCATGTGCGTGTGTCCGTGTGCCTGCGCGCGTGTGTGAGGGGAAGAGCAACATCTAGTCAAGAGAGACAGAACGGAGAGACAGAGACACAGAGAGATGGAGTGGGGTGGGGTGGGGTGGGGGGAGGGCTGGGTCTACACCCCAGACTCATCTTTCTGCCCAGAGGGCTGGGGGCTGTGAGCGCCTCTCTGCGTGCCCTGCGAGGGCGGTGGGGTCCTCGTCCTGCGCCCACCATGCCTGTCCCCACCTCACGAGACTGGTGAGAAGCCAGTCCCCCCCCACGCCCCCCCCGCACCGCCCAGCCTAGAGGCCGCGCAGCCCGAGGGGGCCAGGATTTGAGGCCGGGGAAGCCCCAGATCGCGATGCCCCTCGGGCGGTGGGAGCCCGGTAGCGCCCACCCCAGGTCCAGACCGCCCCTGCGTCTCTCCCCCCGCCGCCTCGGTGCCCATCTCGCCCGCTGCCAGCCCGCAGCCACCCCCACCCGCTTCTGCGGCGCCGGGGCCTCCCTCCCCTCCTTCCTCGCCCTCCGCCATCTCTCCGTCCTCGTCTCCCCCCACCGCCCCCCGACACGCCGCGAGCGACACTCACCCCAGTGGCTCGGCTTCCGCTGGGCCTCTCCCTGCGCCCCAGGCCCCCCCCTCCGCATGCCTCCAGCCGCTGGGGGCTCTGCCTCCCCAGTCCTCCAGGGTTTCCCGTCGAGGTTGTTGGGGGGGGGGCGCAGGGGCTTCTTGGGTCTCCCCGCGCCCCCCCCCTCCTCGCCTGTCGCCCTTCCCACCCCCCCGGGAGGCTCGTCTAGGCCACTGCAGCAACCGTCTCCTCCTCCCCTCCCGACTCGCCTCCTCTGGTCGGCTACCCCCGCCCCCACCTCCGCCCACCTCCCGTCTGCCCCCGGGGACCCCGGCCCCCTGCTCTCTCCCTGACTCCCCTGCCTCCTCCAGTCCCCCGTCCACCTCTTCAGGGCCCCCCAACCCCCTCCTCAGGCGCCCCCCTCGCTGTCTCGCTGCCCTTGGGACCACCGGGCCCCCCTCTCCTTCTCCTCCATCTCCTCCTCACTCTCGCTGCGCCCCCATCACCCGCTCGTAGGTCGGTCGGGAAGCGCGTCTCGGTCAAATTCTCTGTCCGTCGGTCCGTCCGTCTCGGTCTCCCTAGGCCGGGCTCCGTCTGTCTCTCCCTGGCTTTCTCCGCGATTACAATTTCTAGTCACACGGCAGTGCAGAGCCAAGCTGTGCGCCTCGGCTCCCTCCCTCCCCCCTCCTTCTTCCTCGCTTCCTGCGCGGGGAGGGCGCCTCCCCTCCCTCCTCCTCGCCCGCCCCCCCACCCCCCACCCTTTCCTTGCGCCGGAGGCCTCCCCCTCCCCCGCTAATCAAAGGCTCTGTTATCTAATTAACCCATTGGTTCTGGGCAGCCGGGGAAGGTCGAGAGAAGCGGGGGAGGAAGGTTGAAGGCTGGGCTGCCCGGGGAAGTGGGGGAAGGGGGGTTCTGGACCGTGCCAAGCCTGGCCTCGTGGTCTAGACAACCTCACGGGCTGCAAAATCAGGCCGGGCGGGCGCTGGCCGCCCCCCTCCACCGCTGGCCACAGCACCCCCTCCCACACCTGCCCCCCGGAGTGCAGACAACCTAGCTAGGGCTTCTGTGCAGGCAGGCGCTCCCCTCAGCACCCCAGAAGCTCCCCCAAACGCCCTCCCCCCGCCACCACATGGATACAGACCTCCACCCCAATATACCAGCGAACCCGGGCCCAGGTCATCCCAGTCCTTCAGCCCGAGGGCCAACCCCTGCTCATAACCACAAAGAAACCCACTGCCAGATGCAGTCCCCTCCCGCTGGACTTCAGCGGTTTCCTGCTATCCACCTCCTGATACACTTCTGCAAAATGGGCAGGGCAGGGCAGCCTCTTCCATTCATTCTATTCATCCATCAGTCGATGAATCCATCCATCCAACAGATTTTTCCCCCCCATATCCCTACTATGTGCAGACGCCGGTAGAGATGCTGACAAATGCTACCCCCACCCTCCAGACCCCAACATCAAGTAGCAGTAGTAGGAGGATAGGTCAAGCACCAGGGGGTCTGGGTTTGCGTCCTGGACCTGCTGTGTGACCTCAGGCCAGTGACTTCATTTTTCTGAGCTGCAGAAAAACACGGTGAGACAGGGATAATAATAGTATCTATCTCACAGGGCCACTGGGGGACTGACTGGCTCAGGAAATGGCTCTCTCTTGACAGTAAATGCAGATCTGACCACTTCTTATGCCCACCACCATCTCCCCTGGGTGATCAGAGGTACCTCCTCACTGGTCTCCCCTCTCTGACTCTCACCTTCCCTCCCAGACTATTCCCACAGGTGGCCTGAGGGGTCCTGACCCCCGTCTGCTCAGCGGCCCTCACACTCTGTCTGGGTGGGGGATTGGGGGGGACTTGTGTGTGTGTGTGTGTGTGTGTGTGTGTAACCTGACCGAGGTTCAGCAGACCCTCTGCTGCTCCCCTGCTCACTCAACCACTTCGGGCCACACTAACCTCTTGCTGCTTCCGGATCCGGGCACACACTCCTGCCTCAGGGCCTTTGCACATGCTCTTCCCATGGCCTGGACCCTCAGGCGTCCCACCCTCCCTCTGGTCTTTGCCCAGAGGTCGCCTTTTCAGTGAGGCCAGCTTGAACACCTTGCATCACACAGCACCCCCGCCTCACACCAGAACGTTCTCTGCTTTGTCTATGTCGCATTTGTTACCCTCTGACGCATGTTAGCCTCTGACCAGGGCTTCCCAGGGCTTCCCTGGTGGCTCAGTGGTAAAGAATCTGCCTGCCATTGCAAGAGATGCAAGTTTGATCCCTGGAGGGGGGAAGATCCCCTGGAGGAGGGCGTGGCAACCTACTCCCAGTATTCTTGTCTGGAGAATCCCATGGACAGAGGAGCCTGGCGGACTACAGTCCATGGGGCCACAAAGAGTTGGACATGACTGAAGTGACCGAACAACAACGACAATGACCTCTTAGAAGCCCATGCACTTGAGTGTAAGCGCCCCGAGGGCGGGGACTGTGTCTGTTGTGTGCAGCTTGGTTCCCGGCACCTATGACGGTGCCTGGCACAGAGTAGGTGCTGAATGAACACCGAGTGGAGGCAGCAGCAGGTGCCCCACTGATGCCTCCCAGAGATGCCCCTCTCTGCACACCCGGCCCAGACACACATCCCCCAGCTGCACATCTCAGGCTCACCCCCTAGACCTCCTGGATCCCGACGTTCCTCCCATCCCAGGAAGCCAGCCTGGTGGAGGCAGCACATCCATATACCGTGAGCAGAACCGCCTTCAGCTGGACATCCATGCCCATGCTGTGGTGCCACCTGGCTGATCGGCTCCCAGATACTCTACTCGAGGTCCCCAGGGCAGCTGTGTGCACCCACAAAACGCAGGCAAATCTGAGG